CAATCATAGTAATAATAATATCACATTGCACTCTAACAACAACAACAATAATAATACACCACATTGTTTAATGGTTATTATTATTATTATTATTATTATTATTATTATTATTTTCTCTTTTCTGCCTCTCCTCAAGGCTGGAGGGGGGGAAAGCTGTGTTAAAATGCAAAACCCAATTAAAGCCCCAATCTTATAAAACCATTCAAATGCTTCGCCTATTATTGCACTATTATTATTCCGCTTTAACTGCTGTGGCTGACTCCTGGGATTTGCAGTTTATGGAGGGGCATTGGTCCCCACTAAACTAGAAATCCCAGGATTCCATAAGATGCTGCCCCGATAGTTTAAGGCGGAATAATAGCGCTATAACAGCGTACTATAATGTTACACTTAAACATCTTATAGAAACTGCCAGGGCAGCATCCTATTGGAACCCCTGGGATTTGTAGTTTGTTCTGGTGGCGTCCCTTCCAAGTCGTTTCTGACTTAAGGTGACCCTTGTAGAAATAATGCGGTTTGACACCACTTTTGACTCCATCCTGTGATTTGTAGTTTTTGTGAGGCACCAGAATTCTTTGGCAGAGAACACTAAAAGACCTTGCGAAACTACAAATCCCGGGACACCATAGGATGGAGCTATGACATTTAAAGTGGTGTCAAACTGCATTATTTTTACATGCATATTGAGTCTGGGTGACCAGACATCCTTAATCGCAAAGGAGGACGGGGCACTGCAAAATGTAGGACATTCGAGGGGGAAAAAAATGGAGGACATGACCAAATAAAAGCTCGAAACACTGATGCGAATGTAAATCCATGCTTCTTAGACATCCTCAAAATGGAGGACGTTTTGGAATTCTTCCTGGACAGAAGGCGGAAATGTTGGATGTGTCCTGGAAAAGGAGGACACCTGGTCACCCCTGCCCTTAGTCTTAAATTAGAGACGTAGGACGAAGTTGCCTTCCATTTAGTTGGGCATCCTGCAAACTGCATTAATTCTTCAGCCTTTGCGTGCATAAAATGCATAAAACCAGGGAGCAGGGCTTCTGCCAAAATGCAGTCCTATGGGGTCCTGGGATTTGTAGTTCTCCCCATGGGTGGCTGAGAGAGTGACACCTTCGCTTTCGGGTGGTTCGGTGTACACAAAGTTTTAGACTATTTTGCAAGTGCAAAATATCCCAAAATATTCCAAAATCCCAATCACTTCTGGACCCAAGCATTTTGAATAAGGGAGACTCAAGCTGTGGTCCCATCCGCACTGCAGAAATAATCCAGTTTGACATCGCTTTTAATGGCCTTGATTCAGTGCTAGGGAATCCTGGGAATTCTAGTTTCTTGGGGCACCAGAGCTCCCTGGCAGAGAAGTCTACGCATCTCACAGAACTACAATTCCCAGGATTCCCTAGCACTGAGCCATTGCAGTTAATGTGGTCTCAAAATGGATTATTTCCACAATGTGGATTGGACCTGTATTGGTATAATTGAAGTTCTGATTTGGGGAGTATCTGCACTGCAGAATTAAATCAGTTTGACACCACTTTAAGTGTCATTAGTCTATCCTGAAGAATCCTGGGATCTGTAGTTTGAAAATGCACCAGAGCGCTCTGACAGAACAGACTGAATACCTCCCCAAAACTACAAATCCCAGGATTCTGTTGGATAAAGCCATGGCAGTTAAAGTGGTGTCAAACTGATTTAATTCTGCAGTCTGGATACACTCCCCAGAAGGTTGGGGCCAAAATTCACTGCAGAAATAATACAGTTTGAGAGAGACCGCTTTAACTACCCTGCCTCTGTGCTATGGAATTCTGGGAATTGTAGTTTTCTGAGATATTTAGTCTTCTATCAGAGAGCTCCGGTGCCACAATAAACTACAAATCCCAAGGTTCCCTAGCACTGAGCCAGGGCAGTTAAAGCAGTGTCAAACTGGATTATTTCTGCAGTGCGGATGGGACCTTAGAAGCTTTGGCAGCATCCGCACTGCAGAAATAATCCAGTTTGACACTGCTTTAACTGCCTTGGCTCAATGCAATGGAAATTCTGGGAATTTTGTGAGGCATTGAGCCTTCTCTGTCAGAGAGCTTTGTTGCAACAACAAACTACAATTCCCAGGAGTCCACAGTATTGAGCTGGGTTAGGCAACCTAAGGACCGTGGGCCGGATGCGGCCCCCCGAGGCCTTCGGACTGGCCCCAGGCCGATCCTGCCGCTGCCGCCATGATGATATTGATTATTGTTATTATTACTTGTGCTTGGGGTTTTCTTGGCAAAATCTCCACAGGGGTTTTGCCGTGGCTTTTCTGGGGCTGAGAGAGTGTGCATGCATATTTTTAAATTTTTTAATTTTTTTATTTATTTATTTATTTATTTATTTATGGTGCTTCAGCCCCCCAATTGTCTGAGGGACAGCAACCCGGGCCCCGGCTCAAAAAGGTTGCCTACCCCTGGTATTGAGCCTTGGCACACAAAGCGGTGTCAAACTGGATCATTTCTGCAGTGCGGATGCAGCCCAATTGTCCCTTTTTTGGCAAATGCATCCAGGAGTGGAAAAGAGTCGTGATGGCTATGTTTATGTTTACGGAGTGCAATAAATGCATTTCATTTTAAGCCACATATGAAGTAATTTGGCAGTGAACATATACATATAGTGGTGTGTGTGTGTGTGTGTGTGTGTAATTATTTGTATATATGTGTAATATGTGTAATATATGTGTGTATATATGTGTAATGTGTGTATATATATAGTGTGTGTGTGCATATATAGTGCATATGTATATATGTATATATGTATTATAGCCTTGGTCTATAGGAACACCTTAACCGTGATCAGAAAGCCTAT